TGAGCGTGGCCAAATTAGGTCTACTTACACAGGCTTGGGGAGAAGGTGGCAGCGTACCAAACCAGGTCACTGCGACTTTAATTTGACATGTTACCTTGACCTTGATCATATTCCCTTCTTGTCTATACTCGGGCCCTTATTGCAGCTTAGCGCTACAAATTGGATATACTTCACAGTCTTGGGGGAATTGTGGTCGCGTCCGATAACCAGGCACTACGACTTTATTTGACCTTTACCTGACTATTGGATAATATTCCGCGTTCCGCTTTAACTCTGGCCCCTATTGAGCCTTAGCGCTACCAAACTTTGGATTATACTTCACATCTTGGGAAGAAGGTGCGGCAGCGTACAACAAACCAGGTCACTGCGACTTTATTTGGACCCTTTACTTGACCCTTGATTATTTCCTGCCGCTATAACTCTGTCCCTAATCTGAGCCTAACGCTACGAAGCAGCGTCACTACGACCTTTATTTGACCTTTACTTTACCTTGATCATAGTTTCCATGTCCCGGCTTATTTTAACACTCGGCCTCTTAATTGAACTTTAGCGCTACAATAACTTGAGATATACTTACACATCTTGGCGAGAATCGTGTGTTGCGTACAAAACCAGCGTCACTACGACCTGTATTTGACCTTTACCTTGAACTTTATCATATTTCCCTCGCCTCTTTACGTCGGCCCTATTGAACCTAGCTTTCTATCCAACAACTTGGGTATTACTTACACATCTTGGGGAGAATGGTGCTCCCGTACCGAACCAGGTCACTCGCCAACTTTATTTTGACATTGACCTTGACCTTGACCTTGACCTTCATTCATTTTTGGTCTCAGCTTCTTAGCTCGCGCCTAATTGACCTAGCGCGAACCAAACTTTGGTTAACTTACACATCTTGCGGAGACACTGGGGGATACATGTACGGTTGTCGCAAAGCTGCCCTTTCTAGGTCCTATTTATTATATTATAACAATCGATTCATATATAAATATTATATTATATATATATATATATACTATAATAGTAATATAAATATATATATATATGTAAGCTTTCTATATAATAGTTTCTTTCGTATAATAAAATATTTACTCTATGCCATGTGTGAGTTATCGTAATGGGAACGTTTAACTTGCTTATAGAATGAGAGGTATATGTATATGTAGTATATGTTCATGCAGGGAATTGTTCATGCAGGGAGTTAATGTATCTAATTGTTTCTCATTTCACATCAGGTTTAGTAACGACCACAACAGGTCATCTCAAATCAACAACTAAGGGTATCACACCAAATATGTTGTTGTCTGCTAATGCTGTCATCTCAGGTTGCATTTGACACAGCTATGCCTAATGAATTTTAAATGTGCATAAGTATTTGCGCATAATATTATATGCTTCTTGTGATTCACATTTACTTGTTAGTTGAGATCTTCTATAAGCAGTCGTTTTTCCATTAATACCAGCTATTGTCTAATGCTTAATGCACTAGCAAATAACTACACTTGGCTTGGCAGCAAACGCTTATGAAAATAACCTGCTTAGCATACGTGGCTTACGATACAGTTTCTTTACCACCCCACCTTCTTTCATACTCGACCATTTTTTCATCCATTCCTCTCTCTCCTTTTTACTTAATATACATTTTTCTATATCTTGATCTCCTTTATTCATCTCCCCTTACTTGTCTACTTGGTTCATCCTCTCTACTCTAGCTTTGGTTTTTAATAACGTTATTAACTTCTCTTAGATACGTTATAACTCAGCGAAATGTGTTTGCTTAGTATAAGGTGGCAATGTTTGTAGTTCTTGTAGGTGTTTAAGTCGTTAGTTGGTGAGTGCGCTATGACTGAGTGAGCCTGGCCACGTGTGGGGGAGTTAGTTTTGGGGACAATTTGTTTTGCTGCGCGTTTTATCGTCATAGCTTCGGTTGTGCTCAATTGGCTCAACAGCCATCGGACATGCCGATACTGCTGGCAACCACGTTAAGTGGTCTTGTTATGTATTTAATAGAAATATGATTTAGTGTTGCATCATATTCAAGTCCATGGCCAGATGTATGTTTAACAATATTATATATAGTATATAATCAGGATCATTTCGTTTTTTACGGACAAACATGTCATACCTATCACGAAGATTGTGGCAAGATAATACAATCAATATGAACCGTGCTATTCTAGTATTCTACGGCCTTTAAGCAAATCATTTCAACTGTGTGAAAATGAAGAATTCATACAATTAGATTATGTTCCATGCTACACCATCTTTTGTTATCCATTTTAACAAATAATTCATTCATGCCAAGTGAAAGGTTGCTTTCTCTGCAATTATGGAGTCGGGTAAAAAAAGCTGAGCAAGTTGGAGTTTAGATAATAGCATTTAGAGCTCGTTAAATCACGATTTACAGCTATGAAACAACATTATTACTAAATACAACGTTAATTGTATCATTATTAATATTTCTAGAGATCTGGTCATAACAGAAATCACCTTCATCGTAAGAGCACAGGCATTCTTCGGAGAACCAGAACCTTGTGTAGTATCGTTGATGTTTCTAGTTCTGATCTTAGCTTTGGTTTTTAATAACGTTATTAACTTTTGATAACGTTATAACCTCACGAAAGTTGTTTGCCTTAGTATAAGTGGCAATGTTGTATAGTCTTGTAGTGTTTAAGTGTTAGTGTGAGTGCTATGACTGAGTGAGCCTGCACGTGTGGGGGAGTTAGTGACATTGCTGGGTTTCGTATGCTCGTGTGCTCAATGGGCTCCAACCAATCGGACAGCGACTTGTGGCAACCACTTAAGTGTTTTTATGTATATAGAAAATATGATTTAGTGCTCTGCATCTTTCAGTCATGGCAGTGTCATGTTTAAAATATTATATTAGTATATAATAGGTCATTTCTTTTTACGGAAACTGTATACCTATCCACGAATTTGGCAAGATAATACAATACAATATGAACCGTGCTATTCTAGATATCTAGGCTTTAGCAAATCATTTCAACTGTTGAAAATGAAGAATTCAATACAATTAGATTATGTTCCATGCTCACACCATCTTTGTTATCCATTCTACAAATAATTCATTCATGCCAAGGAAAAGGTTGTTTTCTGCATTATGTGAGTGGTAAAAAAAGCTGAGCAAGTTGGAGTTTAGATAATAGCATTTAGAGCTCGTTAAATCACGTTTACAGTATGAAACAATTATACAAAATAAACTTAATTTGTATCATTTTTAATTTTCTAGGATCTGGCATAACAGAAATCACATTCATCAGTGAGAACACGGTTCTTCGGGAAACCAGAGACCTTGTGCTAGTATGTGATGTTACTAGTCTGACTGGCAGTGAAACGGTATGTATAATACAAGTAAATACTATACAAATTTGTAATGCTATGTAATAGAAATATTGATCTTATCCTAGCATTCAGCATGTGTTTTGGTATATAAAGCTTGTGGTTTATCGATATCTCATCTGTTTGCTACCATAGATCGTAATATCATGTGCAGTTATGTGTATATACCACGTTTTTGTAATGCTGTTAATATTGTTTGTAGATTGAATGGCAAAAAGTGCGTAGAAATCGTGTGACAACCCTAACACGTGGTGAAGATGTGGTACTGACCAGTGACAGTAGAATCGGAGTTACCGAAACCACCTCCGGCAACAAGAAAACATTCACGTTGACAATAACTAATGTCAAGACCCAGGATGAAGGCACATACAGATGTGAAACAACATCACGTAATTCGATCCAAGAAGATGTCGAGGTTCAAGTTTTAGGTATATACTATATGGTTTGTTGTAGACGCAATAAGCTACTTTATATAATAAACATTCACGTTATTATATATGACTTGATTTAGAAGCACATATGCATATATTAATCATGTCACACTTATAGACATTACATAGTACGTTGGCATTAGAGTGCCACGTGGCAGCCGAAGATATAGTTAATGATTTATTTTTGGTATTTGGCATCACTGATTTTGATACTTTCAGCTGGTGATGCAACAGCAGAGATAGTGTCTATCAGCGAAGATATAACTGTCAATGAAAACAGTGACCTTATGGTGGAGTGCACTGTCACTGGACTCCCAGATGGTAGTGAGGTGGGTCAGGTTTTCTTTGATTTATTGATTTGTTTATTTAGTAGACTATGTCGATATCTCTTAGTAAACAAATCATATTTATGGTTTAAATAATATAATGGATGCGGGAATATATAGCATATATAATGCTACCTTGAAGAGCAAAAATTAAACGAAATGCTGTGTGCTGTGTGCTGTGTGCTGTTGTGGTTTGGAGTTGTGAAATTCATCTTCCTTTCATTGACACAGAAACATTTATAATGTAAAAATATTTAAATAAAACAAATAATCCATCATCATCTATTATATTGTTATTTAATCTTATAGAAATCACGAATTTACTTGCATAGCAATAATGTATATATATATATATATATGTATATGAATGAAATTTCACTTCTATATTGTCACTTTATGTAGAACCAGTTTTGCTCTTCACCGCACTAATTACTCTATTGTCACTAATGTACCTCTATAAAATCCTGTAGGTAGAGTGGCAACACATAGTTGACCGGCAAGTCACTTTACTCACTAGTGGTACTACACGTGTAACTAGTAACCGCAATGTGCGCATAACTAAAACGTCTACCAACCAGCAAGACAAGTACACTCTCACCATCGTTAATGTGAAGGTATCTGATTCCGGCACGTATCAGTGTCAGGTAACTGGCAGCGACCCTGTGAGCGAGTCGTTAGAGGTCACTGTTGGAGGTACGTAAAATTGTTCAATTTGAAATTCATCTAATGAATATAAATTGCTGAATCAATGGAGAATACATACAAAACAATGTGACATATGTCTTATTAAACCTGTGACAAGAAAATGTTAATGGCTCATATGCAAATTTGCATTTAATCTTCTCAGTTGGGAAACTTGTTCTGTGTCTGCGCTAAAGAAATATTTGCTTGACCATGTTATTGAAAACTTGGGCAGGTTGAGACTTTATCAGTACAGCATTTTATAAACTTTTATGTTTAACTTTCTTATAATGTAGTATGATGTTAATGCATATAGCTGGTGGATTTAATTTTATAAGGTGAAGTAGCATCACTGATTTGCTGCTATATGATTATATACATCATTTGCATGCAGATGGCAGCTCAGTCAGCATTGTGGCAATCTCACAAAAAACAGATGTTGCAGCAGACAAAACGCTATCACTCTTCTGTACAGTTACCGGCTTATCAGGAAGAATAACAGTAAGTATAGCCCTCTAGATCAAACTATGTGTTTATACAACAGGACATTGCCTATAATATGAACTATAAGTAGATGCTATGGCCACTTATTAAATACTATGTGCAAGTTGTGCAATACTATAGGCATGTATGAGTAAAATATATAGAATAATCTAATACAGATGTATTTCCTCAACACACTGTAATTGCAGATTGAGTGGTTAAAGGTGCGTGGAACTCGCACAACGACATTGACGCAGGGCGGAAATGTGATCGCTGCAGACCGGAGGGTTGATGTAAAGCAATCAACTGTTGGCTCTCGAGACACGTTCACATTAACTATTGATAATGTGGCCTCTGCTGATGCAGGCGTATACAGATGTGCATCCACAGATAGAACACCAGTGCAGAAAAATGTAGATGTCACTGTGTCAGGTAATGATATCATTTAAGTTCTAAGTCAATAGTCCTTTTAAATATGCCATTGATGTGTGACAAAATAATGAAATATAATAACAGACACAAAATATTTCTGTGATATGAATGGTTGTTAGTGAGTTACATTTCAATCACTGCATGGCAGCAATTAGACTTCGTCAATCACTTTAGTAAACACCAAACATGCATGGCTTCATACACTGCAGTAGCATATCTTCTTACATTATAAAGAAAAATTTGGAATTATCTCACCCACTAGGTAATACTTGGGTGTGATGTAAATTTTGTATACAGAGCAACAGAACTTTGTCAGGAAACTATTTTCTGCCTTTTCAAAATTGTTTAGTGTAGAGTTGACTGTACTAGACAAGATGACATCAGCATGGTATTAATGCGTAATAATATCTAATAGGCCGTTATTAACGTATGGAAACATATGATATGTGTTTGTTGCGATGTGCTTTTGTTGCAGGTGGGAGTAGTGGCACAGACCCAGAAATTATGGATATTACACAAGATACTGACGTCGTTATTGGGGACTTTCTAGAGCTTGAATGCTTTGTCACAGGTCTCTCTGGAAGTACAACTGTAAGATTAACAATGAGATAATTTTGATATAACCGAAATATAAAGTTGGTACGGGTAAAAAATTATCATCATATTTTAAAAGCAAAGTTTATGATATAGTGTCTGACAATGTGCAGTGATATTTATAACTAGTTATATCGTCGAATTTTCAATGTTTGTAATCTTAAAGTTTTTTAAAAAAAAAATGCGTGTTTATTCCCCGTTGACAGCTGTCTTGACCTTGGAACATTTGTATGTCATTACTTTCGGTTAGGTGGAGTGGCAGAAGCAGAGGACCGGTACCCGGTACACAACTCTCACCAACGCAGACGAGGTGGTCTCGTCTGACAGTAGAATCTCGGTTCTGATGGAACCTGATGCTGGGGACACCGTGTTTGTGCTGCAAATCGACAACGTAAGGACTTCTGATGAGGGTACCTATAGGTGCATAACGACTGACAGCAACCCAGTGTCAAGCACCGTAGACGTTACAGTATCAGGCAAGAAGTAACAAACATATAACAGGCCACGCGCCGCGTAAGTCTGCTGTCGATTCATCGTACCCGTGTGGACCAGTCCCCTTGTGTAGGGTGTCCTTAAGTAGCTAGTGGCATGTTTTTGTTGATAGAGGTTTAGAGTAGGAAATGTGGGGTATGGTGATAACAATCGGGTGTATCATTGTAATAAGATATATATGCGTGGGCAAAGAGCAAGCATTTTCGCAGCATAAGTATATGAATAGTGTAGATAAGTAAATCATGCATGCATCTGTGTAACACGATGTATGTGAAGGATAGAAAATTAAAGGAAAGCACTGGTGAGGTCATGTTGGATCGAGAAATATTGAGTTTATACAAATAACAAAGGATCGAATTACAAACATAATTCAGTGAATGTGTATTACATGTATTATGTAATATTCTTGGTTCAATCTAAACATTCTTATAAAAAGTAAATCATATAAATCAAATAAGTATAGTAAAAATATTTCAAAAACAGCAAGGCCATATCCCAGTGTTAGAAATCGGGTAACAGTTCTGTTATATCAATTACTAGACAATTATCAATTTTGAATATAAAAGTTCTTATCAAATGTGCCAGCATTGGTGGTTGGATCATATGCCCTGACGAGGCAGAAAACCTCAGCTAGTAGCCTTTAGTAGTGTTCTTCACTAATGGCTAGTATAGTCGTTACCAAATAATAATAATGCCGAAAATATTTCCTTTATAACTGTGCCATATCTAAAACGGTGGATGGTTTCAAACGCTGCGATCAATATCGACGTTTTTGTCACTGACAGCAATATCTTCCTGTTGAAATCGGTGTCAAAAAGCAAACATATCTATTCTAGCTGACAGTGCTGATCGAGTACAGCGGGATACTGTTCGTGTCCAGCATGCTGCTCTAAAAGCATATAGCAGCAAGGTCTGGGAAATGCTTTCTAGTGTCTTCTACAGTAAGTTGTTTGGGGCTGTCCACCAGATAGCACCCATGGGTGGGGATGTGTGGCTTATGTGACCGGTGCATATTCGCTATGACAATAAGTCTCCCATGGACTGAAAATGATTTATTTTATTCGGTGGAAGGAACTAATTAAGTTGCTATACCTAGGCACTGTGCGTTCTGCGAGTTTTGTTGCTCTATAAACGGGTGAATGTACTGCTAAGTAGTAACCGGGTGAATGTACTGCTAAGTAGTAACCGGGTGAATGTACTGCTAAGTAGTAACCGGGTGAATGTACTGCTAAGTAGTAACCGTTGGTGCATGTATGCAAAATGAGTTGGGCATGCCATACTTGATTGCATATAATATGGGATGAGGCTTTCAGGTTGGGGATCTGTGATCATTTTCTGTATTTATTTTCAGGAAAAAATGTGCGGCTGTGTACAAATTGGCACTGCGGTCCGCTGTCAGCAATAGTTATAGACGCCAGTCAGTGTTCATATTATTTATACATGGTTATAGCGTAAAAATATCTACACTCGATCTACGAGTATATAAATATGTGCTCAGTGGGCTGTTGTAATCCCAAGTTCGAAAGTACAGGAATTAGATTTCAAGTGTGAAAACGCATAAATGGAATATTTCATCTATATATTTTACAAGATCTATTGAGAAATTGTTTTTTAACAATCATGTTTTTCATATGAGAAATGAATATAGTTTTTTACCCTATAGCTTTGCAATTTCGTGTCAATATATCTGTCGATTCACTATGAAGACGGGCATAATTAAAGGTGGTAAAAAGTTTCGGTAATGTTATTTTAACTACATTTTTATTACAATAATACTTATATATGAAAAGTGACGCATATTTTTGATAATACAATTTTATTCTATCACACAAATATTTATAACAAAAAAGACTCCGCTCTTATTCAAACACACTATCCAGAATAACGAGTGATACTACAGCTGTATGTGTGACGTACGTATCATAGTGGACTGAAATACTGAAAATATTTGACTAAACTAAGCACTGCACCAGGCCATGTGAAGCGTGAGACATTATATCTGGGTATTTATTCAGTTTAAATGTCAGTTAATGATGGGTACTGTTCAAACAATGACATATCACCGTATATTTTATGCCTCATTAATTCAGATCATTTGCATCCGAGGTGTTAGTTTTATGTATATCGTCGATTGGGATTATGCGCATGTGTATGAATAACTTGTGCTGCATGCGTTCCCACTTACAGTTGTACGATTATTATACATTAATTACATTTATACTCGCTGGTTGGTTGCGATGAATGTGCATGACGATGTTTAATTGTGCAGGATCGCGAGATTCAAGCTTACAAGAGGACTTGGCTGTCATACCTGATCGTGGAGCCGGTAAATATAAAGCAGACGTAGCAAACACACACTCGCACCTAACACCAGTATACTGCACTCGTTTGTCGTGTTAGTAGTCAATGTATACAATGCCGTGCTTATGTGATTTCTTGTTTTGTAATAAGCTGACTCACCCATCGTAATCCTCCGATCGCATTGCTTCGTTAACTTAATTGCCCGGTACGCATATATTATTACACTATATTTGTCTAGCGAATAGTGAATGAAATTGCGTATCCACCCTGAAATGCTAGGTCAGTTGAAAACAAGAAATTATCATAGACTTGGCTATATTGGCCTGCACTTGCTTATAGGAATTTCCTCTCGAATATTTATATTTAATTTTTATTGCTATAGATTATTTTAGTCATGTTGATTGAGCAACGTTCTGTAGTTACTATAGAAAAAAGGCATATGATTTACATGTAGTTGTAATTTATGTCTTTGGTTTGGATTGGTTTTCAGTAATTTAATGACGGCTCCTCGTAGGACGTGTAACATTGACAGGCTTGCCTATTTCAACCACATATATAAAGGGTACCACGACTCTGTATATGGATCTCTGAATTATTCTCCACTGCAATGTACAATTGCAAGTGAATTATATCTTCAACACTTCCTGTATACAGTGATCATCATCAATCCTTAATTGTGTGGGATGATGACGTCATCGCTGAGCTAAACTTTGCACGATCATTTTTGTGATTCCCGGTGAAGCTGGTAACGCGTTGACTGTAGAAGAACCATTCATATGTCAATATGTCCAATCCTCTCACATAATGAAAGCTGATAGGGTACCGTGCACAGCATTTCTTCCCCTGAAAAAATACAATCACTTACTTTGAGTGAATAGAAACGAGTTTTGCGTGCATATCGTCATTGCGTCAGAAATTTTAGTCAATCCGCATTCAAATCCATTTATCATCGCGAGATTACACTTACATTTATCACTGGGCTGCCGTTGAATTTCCTGTACCAGGTCGGATATGCACCTGTTACGTGGCGCTTCAGGTCAAACACCATGAATCGGTCTCTGCCCTGTTCATCCCTCGTGTCGACAGCATAGCCGCCCACCGTCGACAAGCATTTCCCCACCTTCCAGTCCTCCCCACGTCCATCCGGTATGCATTCTGGGTGATCTAAGCGAGAAACCAAATTAATTATGTTAGTATTAAACGAATGCGTAAATACGTTAAGCGAAAATCTCAAAGGATGACGTGTTGTTTCGAACATACTTGGCATTTCGAAGCACAACTTTCTGGATTCTGTTTTTTTACTAAGAAGAATTAAGCATTACATATGTATTTCCAGTTATTCCTCCGTTTTAACCCCGGATTGTACAGATATATATATATATGGGCAATTCCATGGTCAGTCGCATTACACTTTTATGTGCCAATTCTATAATTTGGTGGTATCAGTTTTACAAGGGTGAGTCTTTCTGTCAAGTTTATACACTGATTTCAACTTGACACCCAAAGCTTTAAAGTAATGCTATTGGAAATGTTGCATGCTTTGTACTGTGAACGCCATGACATCGTAAAAATCGGTCAGTCGCATTACGCGAAAAAGGCATGGCAAAAAATCCACTTATCACAATTCAAAAGTTTCCTCAAACCAAAACACTTTTACCAGTTTTATTACATGCAACACATGACCTTCACACAGAAGTCTCAAATAAGGTATTTACATTTGGTAAGCAACTTAAATGTATCCTTTGTGGATAGAAAAACCCTGGTTAGTCGCATTACGGTCAGTCGCATTACGGTTTGTCCATCAATTAAGCCATCACTATATGGAGCCACATGTATGTTCTCTTTTGACAAAAATGGAATTATTCGTTGTAAACATCTTAAACAAATGCACAGAGATGAGGAAATAACATTTAGACTGACTTCAGCACAGGTTATCTCTTAAAAATGCTATTGACAAGGTCAAAATATGTATTTTCTACACATACACGTAGGCTAACTCTCAGAACAGTTTTGGCTGCTTTTTGAAAGTTTCCAGATTCCGGTATATGGTTGTAATTTTATATCTTTGGTGCATCACATTTTGGTATATAACTCGAACATGAAATTTAGAATAAATTGCCAATTAATTCAAACTGATTAAAAACAGATTTTAAAACTTTAAACAGGTTTTAAACATAACCCTGATATTCCAAGTTTTGGGAATAAATTTAAAAGTGGTGTGCGAATTTGAAGTGACCACGGTTGTTGGCTATCATAGGTTCTTTAATGATGCGAACTACTTGCTGCTTCAAGTGAAAAGTTTTGTCATCCTTTGGATTTGGCCATTTCCAGTTTTGACCTGCTCGATGCATGACAGACACACGGAAATCTCCTTGACCACCAATCTCCATGACTTCACCTGGATACACTTCACCATCATATTTCACGACACACCACTGACCAACGTTTAGGCCTACATGTTCATCAACAGTGTTGTCCACATCCTGCTCACTTGCTTTTTCATTACTGCCTGTGTGCTCTGCCTCTACTTGTGTGTGCTCATATCCATCAGCAGTTATGAGGGAGGCTACAACTTCGCCATCTTCAACCTGGATGAAATGCTTCTGTGCAATGTCTTTGATTTGTTTAGCTTTTTCAAAGGTCGCATCTAGGTCAAGATTCTTATTTCTTGCATTGATGTCAGCTGCTGTAAGTTCATGTACCTTGCCCTTGGGCATGTTGGATGCAGCACTTGCAAAGGTTGCTGCATTTCTGACGCTATGCTTCCGCAATCTTACAGAATCCCACACAAACCTCTTTGCTGCACCCCCAATTCCATCAACAGGCCCCTTTCCATGTGACGTTGCAAAGAAAGACCATTTGATTTTGACATCATGCTTTTTCTCAAGATCTTTAATTGCTGCAGCTACAAACTTGTTCTTGAACTGTGACCGCAGGCCATCGGACCACAAGGACACAATCTTCACGTGTGATGGAAGGTCCTCCAAAGCTCGTGCAAATCCATGAACGTCCTTAAATTTAAGCTAACCATTTGAGTGGGAACCCTGTATTTACTTACCTGTGTCTTTTTCTTTACAAACAAGTGAAAACAGGAGTGTTCAAAACTGCCTACTGTGACTAGCACAAAACATGTGCTTATATTATAACCATCTGCTTTGTAGAAGTGCATTGTGGGTACTGGGTAGGTTTATAAAACAATGCTGCCCTCTATCCATTCATTAGTGACATCTCTGCAGCTGTCCATACCTCTGCTGTCCTCTATTTAGTCATGACTAAGATCTCTGGCTTTGCTGATCTCTTTGCATCCTCTTCTTGAAATCAGATTTGGTCAGTCGCATTACGGTACACTGGTCAGTCGCATTACCGGTTAGTCGCATTACAATTCTTGTTGGCTCGTTATTAAATAATGCTGACTAAAGCTTTCAATTCCTTAGTCATTTCAGACTTGGTATTAGGTGTAGAAGCATATATTTGAAATGCCAATAAAATAATCAGTGGATTTTTGCTATAATTGAAAACAAATCATCTTTCGGTCAGTCGCATTACACCACATTGAAGCTTTAACAGGTACACTCACTGTATGGCTTGAATGGAAGAGGCAACTTGGAATTTATTTTGGATTGTAACAGATGGGTCATGGTACTAATCAAACATATTAAACTTTTGATGGAAGAATCTTTTATGGAAAAAATATACAACTTAGAAGAAATCTCCTTGGCATGCTCACTTTTAATGCGTCTAAGAACAGTTTGGGAAAACAGGTCTGCCTTTGCACAATGCGACGCAGAACCCTTAAAAAAGGTTGATTTCTGTTTACTTTCATATGTTAGCTATAACTTAGAAGTGGAAAGAAAGTTGTGACATAGATTTTATTTTTTGGTGTCTTGTCCATGTTTGCTTGGAATTGCCCATATATATATATATATATATATATTTACCTGTTATTGCTTGGTTGAGAAGCTTCACAGACTTTCGTGTTAGGATAAACCCTGGTCCGCCGCTCATGTACGTGACGTTTCGCGATGGATGCTTGAATATATGTCCATAGTACTCTGGTCTCTCTGGATGTTTGTCCGAAAGAAATTGCCTAGATAAAAGTAGGGCCAATATTAGCTTTTGGTGAACCTGTGCCTATATACTCTCACATATCGATTTTTCTGTCTGATTGACTGATAGATCGTTGTCATCCGAGCAAGCATGAAACGCAGTTTTATGCAGTTCTGATCATATGCTAGCTATTCACATTTGACATGTCCATCATATTTTCATCATATGCACAGTAACTTTTTATATCATATGTCCACGAACGTTTCCATCATGTAATATACTGTAGTACCATATATATATATATATATATATATATATATATATATATATATATACCTGAGATTCTCGATGACTGCGTACGTATCGTCATCATCCCCCCCCCCTCCCCACCCCGCCTCTTGTAGAAGAAGTCAAAGTCATTGATGAAGTGTTTCTCGACGTAACTCCACGCAGCTTTTGCCTTCTGCGCCTGAAACGCGTGGTGCCCGTCTCCCGTGTCCAACCCTATCGTCGGAAATTCGGCGTTCTCTTTGGAGCTGAAGTAGACGGTCTTGTCGCAGCGGCGCGCCCACGTGTCGCGCACGTACTGCGTGCGTGTGAGCAGATTCTCCGGCATCGTCAGCACCCAGCAGAGCAGACGCCACGGACGCCGCTCGCCGCGCGTTGCGCCGCCAGCTTTCGTGTCGCCGTTCGCGTCCGTAGTCTCTATCTCTGTCGATGTATCGTGCGCGTCGCCGACACTCCAGCCGTCGCCTAACTGCGCGAGGTGCGGGTCGTCTCCCCTCGGTGTTACGCGTGTCTTATTTGCAAAGTTCTTTCTACCCGCCGGTCTTTTCTGTAGCACTGTCCTGTTCGAAGTGAGTGCGTCTGCCTTTAAGGCGGGGTAGTCCACGTCCGGTGCAGCTCCCGTGTAAATCACGGGTTGATAATAAGCACTTATGTATAATCCCATCGCTGCTAAACACAAGAGGCTGAGGAACAGTTTGGTATATGAAATCTTCTTTGTTGGATATGTGCTCATTTTTGCGAAAATCGATTTTTAAACACAATAAATATAAGAGGTAAATAGCGTTGACATCTGACGCGCATGTACGAACGCAAATCTTTACGAAGTGACTGACTGGAAAACTACTAGATCGGAGTGTATAAGGCCTTAGCCGTCAATTTCCACCTAACAGCTAATAACTGGTTCTTCTTATGTCCCTGGAAGATCACTGTCGTTAATTGCGTGACAGCTACTGCGAAGCGATGCCACGTGCTTAGACGAGTCTGTGACAACAATAGAAAAGCACCGGAAGGATCGTGGGGGGTGAAGGATCAAGGGAAGTGATCATGGGCAATGATGTGTACAGAGACATATTTATCCGCAGCGGGATCAGGGTTGATTGCTGTGTAAATTACTACCGTTTCGCTGCGTGTTTTTTACCTATAGCTGTAGTTAGTAAGTAAGTAAGTAACCTTATTTTCATCGGTACAGGACATACAGGATAACATATGAGCTCTTGAAATAATATTAAGTTATATATGGAGCATGTGTATATACTCTCATATGCATATAATAACAAACATAATATTCATGGTTATGTGAAAGGCCTGCTGATCATGAGCTCGCAGAGGAAAGCATGATTGATGATGATGAATTCACAAATGCCTAACTAACCCTGCACCCGACAGATAGCAGCCAGACTTTTTGACATATTAGACTTTTTAAGTGCATTTATTAGTAGTCTTTTATTTTACACATATAGTCATTATGGACTGAAGACATTTACCTTGTTGAAGACCCTACGGAAATCGGTTTTTCTGCTACAATGTTCAGCCATATTAAGCAGTTAAAAATAAAAAATTTACCATACCTACAGCCATTAATAGCTATGTGATCTAGCCTCATTGGTGAAATTATTCCTGATTTGCATATGCATGTCAACTATGTACACATTGTTAATTTTGGTATTGCGTGTATCCGTACAATTATGTATGCACTTGCACTTTCTTTTTTATCAAACTATCTCTACTGTTTTTTGTGGCATCTTGACTATTATTTATATTATATGATATTATATGCTGTAATTTTATCATGACGATCTGCTTCAATTATTTTATTTTGCTTTATTCTTCTTAATTCAGACGTATAATAATAATTCTATTTATAATTATGTTTGATTTTAGCCAAAAGTCTATTGACTTATCAACGTTCGCCTATTCATTGTATAGTATTCATTGTATTGTTCGCCTGTTCATATGATATTATATGCTGTAATTTTATCATGACGATCTGCTTCAATTATTTTATTTTGCTTTATTCTTCTTAATTCAGACGTATAATAATAATTCTATTTATAATTATGTTTGATTTTAGCCAAAAGTCTATTGACTTATCAACGTTCGCCTATTCATTATTATTCATTGTTGCTGTGAAATCTCGATGCTAGCTTTCCCTGCCGATATAGGTATGTGAGTGATGTTTGCTTTACAACAGAAGATCCGATTACATCGATGGAGATAACAGATATCACAGGCGACCAGACCGTAAATGCTGGCACTGATGTTTCCATGGAGTGTACTGTCACTAACCTAGGTTCCAGTACTGTAAGTTATATGTGCAAGTTTAGTTTACCCTATTTTATTTAAGTATCTTGTCTATTCGTAAACATACCACACATATATACATATATATGTGATATGAAATTTTCCACAAATGCTCGTACATGCACGTACGTATAGCTTTCTTTATGTCTAATACAAAAGACTAGGTACTATAAATGTATGGGTGTCTACGCGTATACGCATGCGTGCATGTCTGCGTGTCTGAGCGTGTGTGTATTGTGTACGCGTGTACACACACACGCGTTTTCTCTAGGTGTCTTGGGAAAAGCTGAGTATTGGGAGTAGATCTGAAACCCTCACGATTGGTGGATTGGTGAGCACGGAGGACAAACGTGTAGCGATCGGTGTGAGAAACCAAGACTCGACCACTGTGTTCCGGCTATCGATGTCCAGCGTTGATAATGAGGACAGTGGAACATATCGTTGTGTGACTATAACGCCATTTGGTTCTGTGTCAAAAACTACAGAGCTGTCTGTAAGAGGTATGGCCAATGTCAAAATAAAAAAGTTTTTTAACGGCATTACCTCATATAAATGTAATACAATAGTAGTAACGTGTGTACGTAATTAGTGATAAATGAGTAATAAAGTGCATGTAATATATTGGAATATATGTAAATTGTAATGAAAAGGATAATGATAAATATTCAATAAAAAACGTAATTTAAATTATATTACATATATTACAATGTTGGCAGCATTTTGACTAATATAATGTAAAAGATGTACATAATGTGTTAGTTGCATTGTAAAACATTATTATTGAATGTTATGTGTAGGTACAGTTGGAGCAAAAATCACGTCCATTAGTGACGATGTGACAGCCATTCCTGGAGACATCATAGCGATGTGGTGCATAGCTTCAGGACTATCAGAAGGAACCACTGTAAGCTAGGTGTTATATAGCTGCGTGATCCCCCTCCCTCAAAGTTACATAGTAGCATGTTTTGTCTATTGTTTATGTGCTAAAAATATTCCATACACGTACTGTATATAATGTGGCAATTAAATTTAACCAAAAAAGTTGCTCGAATATTTGTATGTGTTAATATTGGAAGTATTGTAGTAGATTTCCAGACTCTTTTTTATTTTCCTAACTGACGGTAGTAATAATAATATAGATATGTAGTATATATATATATAGTGCATGTGTGTTCGTACGTGTGAGTGCTTAATTGTGTAGTTGCGTGCGGACGTGCGTGCGTGTGTGTGTGTACAATCTAGAAATAGTCGAATCTATCCTTTGCCGTAGTGTGGAAAGCAGAACTTTGAAATAAACAAAATCTCATATGTTATCCGGTGAAGGTTGCCTGGGAGAGAGTGACGAGCTCGGGTGTGGTGCAGCTGTCAGAGGGCACGCGGCGCATGACGTCTGACCGTCGCTTCCGCATACTCGTCAGTGTCATTGGCGAGCAGCGAAGCAACTACACTCTGCGTCTGCTCAACGTGCAGATGAGGGATGCTGGCACTTACAGGTGCAGGATGACTGGAACCAACTCGGAATCAAAGTCGCTCAGTCTTTTCGTCGGGCGTAAGTCGTAAATTCTACGTTACTTGGAATTTGATATTCCTTCACAATCAGAACAGCGACACCATAATTACATGAGTTTAAAGTCGCACAGCAAACCTTGCTTACCCCTTCCTACTCCATCCACATTTTCTGATTGCAATGCTGATTTCAGTCTCAGTAACCCTGCATAACAATTAATTCAATATACACATGCACATCAAGAGTACATAATAGAGATGCACATGCACATGATGCTCTTGATGCTCTTGATGCACATGCCTCTTATAACATAATGAACATATAACAAAAACCAAAGATACTTGCAGATCATTCGCAAAGACAAATAAATGCTCTTTTATAGCATAATATGAACGTCTGTAATATATATAACCCCAAACAAATATATGAGCCTATGTGCCACCAACAGATCACGTACAGATTAACCTAGCATCTCCTATACCACTACGTACATGGCTATAGAAAGGGTACACCATCAAGCAACTGTAATACATGCACATATAGGGATAGGGTCTGGTGCTCCAACACGAAATGTAAAAACATGCATTGATTCACTATATATATATACCCAGCTCTGCTACATTTCACATCTGCAAGTTTACAGATTTGCAACATTAATTGCAACTAAAAATATATAAAAAACTACCACCACAATCTGATCATAATGCGGTTATCAGAATTTCCTAAAACATTTTGATGACATATTAATTTCCTTGACTTAATGAATAATGTCATTGATTGTACAAAGTAATCATTGGATCCCAGGGATATATTATGAGTTGATATGACTATGTTTATGAGTCAGTATATTGAGTAGTGCAATTATCATTTGTCAATGTATTCCTTACATAATTAATTTATGGTGCGTGGTAATAAATTAAATTGTTATATAGCTGCAAAAAATATTGCATAGTAAATTGTGCAGAGAATGGAATGTGGCGTGAATACAATCTATTGTTGAGCATCAATGTTAAGTAAAGGGGTTGCTACGATTAGCACCTAAAGAAGATTTGAACATATGTACGAGGATGGTATATTAGATCGGGTAAAGCACAATGGTAATAAATAATACACCCAGAATGTGATTAAAACCCCCACTTCTGTACTGCCAGATTCTCTGCCAAATTTCATAAGAATGCCCTCTTTGTGATGTAGCTGGAAATTCCTTACGTGAGAGAGTTTTTATAGTGCTTTCCCCATTACTGTATTCTAGGCTATTTCCCTGAATTGTAATTATGTATGGAGAAAATGATTAAGTATGGGGTTGATTGATTGTTTAAGGGTAACGCTTGAGCTCCCGTTTCAGTTATGCATAATGTATCATGGGTAAACCAGAAATTTTCTCTTTGTTCTCTTGGTGAAAAGTGTCGCATTGCTCACAGTCGATCCTGTTAATAGTAACATTGATAACAAGTACTCCTGATTTTACATATTACAAAATAATTATCGGCTATTATTTGGGCATCTTTGATGTTTCTCTGTCTACAAAACTCTGTTTCTCTCACAATGCAACAATTGTATAGTGTAAATTTAAGAGTATTAATCAATTGTCAATATATCAATTTGACATCTAGGGTCATTGAGCATCAGAGCATTATCTAATGATGTCACTGTGGAGACTGGGGAGACAGCTAGACTAGTCTGTGACGTTGAAGCATCGGTGGACAATGAAATGAGTGTCTTCTGGCAGAAAGATGGTGTAAATATAAGGTGAGAACTGCAGTACTGCATTCCCTTTGTTTTCGCACTCCTGTGATCACCTCTATGGTTTATGAAGGTACATGCACTTCAAACATAAAATGTTTGGGTTGGTATTTTTTGTGCCAGCCGGGCAAGATATGTATTTTACTGCTACTAGATTTGCTACATTTCGCTAAAAGCAGCAAATACAGTACAAACAGTGTAACAAAATGACAATCGGTGCCCCCACTTTATTATGCTTATAGGTAAAAACGTTGGTTCTTTAGGGTAAAATTGAAAACAACTTAAGCTTTAAGTGTACAATGTTTCTGTCTGCTAAACTAACATTTTGTCTTCTTACATATAGTAGATCTTGGTTATTTTTGTGTGTATTCTTTTTAGTGGATCGATTTCTATTTGTGATTCCAGTTTAACAACACCTTTGCTGATTGAGCGTGCAACAAAAGATGACATGGGTATTTACAGCTGCTTTGCCTCTGATGGAGTTAATTTGATCGTATCAGACGTTCAACTTATCATAGAGTGTAAGTACTGTAAAATCGTCTACTGATATACTGTGGATCCATTGATAATGTAATATTGTAAAACAACATTTTAGCGAGTCATGACCATGAATGTTTTGTGTTTCTTGTACCAATATATGACACATAATTTCAACACAAAAGTGTAATACTGTATACGATGTGTATTTCGCGGTGGTTAAATTTTCGCGAATTTCGCAAACGGGTCCCTGGTCGCGAAAATAACAACACGCGAATAATTCATACCGAATAATACCGAATAATATATATACCCTATAATTCTTAATTCACCAACCGCGAAATTAAACAACTCACGTAATGTACGTCAAGTCTGAATTCGCGAAAATATCTGTACGCGAAAAATATGGCGTATACAGTAGATAAGTTATTGATTCTCAGCAGGCAGTTCAGGGTGAAAGATGAGCCACTATTATCTAATGATTTTATGGTTATTTAGCATACAAATATATCATCATTGCGTTTTGTCTTCCACAGTCGCACCAAATATTGAAACAGAGTTGCCCATGCGTGTATACTTTGATGGTGGAGTAACAGACTATGTTGTTGGGGAAGTGAAGTGTGTCATTACCTCGAACCCAACACCGAATATTGAATGGTTGGGCCCAAATGGAAAACTCATCTCACCAAACAGCAAATACAGATTTCAAGTAAAACACAGAATGTAACACTACAAGTACACTGAGCATTCTTAACTTGAGACGACAAGATTTTGGTTTGTATGTCTGTGAAGCGGAGAACCATCTTGGTAAAATTGTTGCAGAAAAGAATGTATACAGTAAGTGATATGTCATTATTAATATGTCACTTATTCCTTCACTTTTCGTGTACCATTTGTTTCTTGATGTCAGTGTTTGCTTTGTAAAACTCATAATAGAAACCAATAAAAGAAATGATAGAATGTAAAACTATGCATACCGTTACTTTAAAATATGAATGAAAGTAATTATATATAATATATAGGTAAATATAATAATTTAATAAAAATAAATATAATGTAATAAATATATAATAATTAAAAGTGTGTAATTTTAGATGTATAGTTGATCATATTAATGTACGGGTGCATGTGAATATCTATATCTGTGAATTAACTTTGTGAAATGCAATTTTATTTGTCCATTGTAGTTTATGAATCATGTGAAGAAATGTTTAAGACTGACAGCCCTGGGCTCTACATAATAGATCCCGACGGACAGGGAGGGCTGCCTCCCTTTCAAGCTGATGTACATACGTGGATACAGGTAAAATGGCTTTTGTAAAATGTGGAAATAATAGTGAAGTTGGGAAAAGAAGTTCATAAATTTGTGATCCGTAATCTTATGCAGTGATAGACTGATACGGATGAGACACTCATTTGCAACAATGTTATTATAATCATGTAAAATATATGCTCTTACATAAAATTGATGGTAGTGATTTTATGTTTTTCTCAGAACTTCCTGAATGCCAGTTGGCTGCTGATCCTGGTGGCTGCTTCGGATTCTTCAGACGATGGTACTATGACCCAAAAACAGCAAAGTGTAGAACTTTCATCTGGGGTGGCTGCGATGGTAATGAGAACAATTTTGAGACAGTATCTGAATGCCTGTCGCATTGCCGAGCAGTGGTCACCATTATTCATCACAACGTGGAGAATTGTGGCCTTGTAGACGGCCATGAAGCACCTGGAAGCTACGTCGGACACGTGGTATATGAAGGTAACTAATAGGCATGCTTTCACATGTAGAAATGAAAGAGCTGGTAGAGTGGGTGTGTGTGTGTGTCAGAGATTTTGTTGTAGTGTAGAATGAAACGACAGTGATAATTATTATTCGTTATAAATATGATTCATCACTTTTATTTGTGATTTGTGGCATACTTGATTTTAAAAGTTTCAGGTGTATACAATTTCATATCGAGTGAAATTCAGTTATTTTCTCATCCAGACATTTTGTGAGTGACGGTCATTCATGCGCGAGTTTCACGTTAACGTTAATAACGTTAGGGTTAAATATATTTTCATACATTAGGAGTATCTACCGATCAGCTGCGGGGACTTGTAGCAGTATCGGACTTCTGTGACCAGTATCTTAGATTTAATGAGTCTACGCCTTCTCGTCATCCTCCGGATCCGGTTGCCATTTTCGTTACGGCAATTCAATATTCGTATGAACATTAGAATTATGGTCGGTACGTTTTAATGTACGAAGTGCTGAGTAAGATTAACCAACCTTGTGCGGTGCCTATAAGGAATCTGTTAATCTTAAAGTGTATATTATCGTTAGCTCGTAGTTTAGACTTTGTCAATACTAATCAGATGTTCTTGAGGGTACATAACCAAATTGTAATAACTTGCTGTGATAGCCTGCAATAAGCCAGTTCGTAGTTACAGTCTGCGCATGCGCTCGAACTTAGGGCCACGAATACCTTTCGGTCAGGTCATTTGTGAAGCGTACACTCGTGCGTGCGTTGCGTGCTGGCGTGCGTGCGTGGCGTGCGTGCTGCGTGCCGTGCGTGCATGTGCACGTATCACATGCGTGTGCATGTAGACGTGCTTCGGTGTGCCGTAGCACTGTGTGCGTGCATGCGTGCGTGCGTGTTGCACGTACACGTGTGCGGTGCGGTGCGTGCGTGTGGGCAGCGTAGGCACGTGCGTGGCGTGCGTGCCAATACATCGACACGTGCGGTGCGTGCGTGTGTGCGTGTGGCACGTACACTTCGTACGTGCGTGTGACGTACGCTCGTGTGTACGTTCGGTGCACGTACACCGTGCGTGGTGTGCGTGCGTGCGTGCGTTGTGTGGGTGGCGTGCGTGCGTGTGAGGTGCGTGCGTATGCAGGTACACATTGCGCGCGTGCGTGCGTGTGCATGTAGCAGTGCGCACGTGCGTGTGTACGTACATGTGCGCCGTTGGCGTGTCGTGCGGCGTGTTTGTGCACGTACACGTGCAGTGCGTGGCGTGTGCCGTAGCACGTGCGGGCTTGCGTGCGTGGCGTGTGCAGCGTAGCCCATGCGTGGCGTGCGCTCGTACCGTGCGGGCGTGGTGCGTAGTGCATGTACACGTGCTTGCGTGCGTATGCACTACACATGCGGCGTCGTGGGCAACGTGACACGTGTGCGCGTCCGTGGCGTGTGGCAGGTACACGTGCGTGCGTGCCGTATACACAGTATCACGTGCGTGCGTGCTTGTGCACGTACACGTACGTGCGCGCGTGGCGCTGTGCAGCTGTACCCGTGCGTGCTGCGTGCGTGTCGTGCGTGCAGTACACAGCGCGTGCGTGCGTGCGTTGTTGCACGATGACGTGCAGGCGTGCGTGCCGGCGTGGCACGTACACGTGCGTGCGTGTGCACTATACACTGCGGTCGGTGTGTACACGTGGCAGTACACGTGCACGCTCTTCCGTGGGGGAAATGTACTGATGCGTGCGTGCGTGCGTGCGTGGCGCATGTACACGTGCGTGAGTGTGTGTTGCTACGTACATATTCGTGCAGTGTACACTCACTGGAAAACAAATGTAGCATATACTCTAAACCGAGAGGTCACGCCACACACGGGATTTCAAATAGATTTTGTCATAAATGACCGGTGAGACGCTGTGATGTCACGACAACCCTTTGGCTCACAACTAACTGCTTATACCCAGAACAAACTGTGGCAGTTTGATCATTAACTTATCACAATCCGTTGAAATTACAGCAAAGTAATTGTTTCACCGGAGCCAACAGAACTTAGTTTACGCAAAGCGAGATTAAATAGACTGTCAGGCAGATGAGAATGCAAAACATGCGCCTATCGTGCTCCCAACGCTACGCTAGTACATTCGGTTCTGACATGACTGCCCTCATACTAGTAGCAACAATAATTACACTGTGTATACGAACATAATATCACGGTATTATGTTGATATACTAGGCTATGGTTTCTGGAAGTCATATGATGGTATAATGCAGACATTCTGGGCTGGTGGTATGGAGGAGAATGCATGTTCTTGCTACAAAAACAACTCGTGCAGGCAGGGGAAACGGTAGGAGCACGCGACTCATCAGTATAGTAGTCGATCAATTTCTTCACAATAATTTGTATTCTTTATTGGCATCCACAACAGTTGAAATCATCTTGCATACTGAATGTATAATACTGTGTACTTAATAGTTCTACACAGAAGCGCATACCCGGTTATTAGTGGATTATACCTTGCACATCATTTGAAATTGTGTTAGCTGTTTATTCAAACGTGCATGAAGTGTATACTTTTTATGTGTATATACTAAGCAAAGGGGTTGCCCTAGAGTGCCTGTTCAACTTTCGGGACTGCTATCCTTCGAGTTTGATAATTTTACTCTCCTGATCTTGAACGGTTAAAACTATATGTACTAATTGCAACTTTTCTGTTCAAAATACATGCTTGAAAAATTAGTACTTATTGCTTAAGTTAGATCTATGTTTATACAAAAGAGCGTGAAATTACAAAGACTTTTATCTCACCTTTCGTCCTAAACTACACAAAAATCAAGCACATACACACAAATAAATTAAACCATTCTTGAACAACGAGACTTTATTACACAGAACCAAATGTAGGCTTACTTGCAGCATCTAAGCACTTATATGTTACATGTTCTCATTTCACACTTCATCTTTGGAAGTCGTTGTCCTTACATTCATTCAGATGAGATGTGTATGTGTTATTATTGCACATTTCTATTATATTTTCTTATTTATAGTTATATTAGCAGGCTTGTTATATTGACAGCACTACTCTATATATCTAGGTGTAACTGTGATGCCAACCTAAATAGCTGGCAGCAAGACAGTGGCCTCGTGACAGACAAGTCAGTTCTTCCAGTGCAGAGTGTGTATTTTGGCGACACAGGGGATGAGACGGAGCGTGGCTATCATACCATAGGACCACTGCGTTGCTACACAGGTGCAGAAGAGTTTCTCTTTTTACTCTCCCATCACAAAATTTGTGTGACAAAATACACTAAAGGAAACACTGTGTGTTCAGGCTTGTTAGCAGAAATTATAATTCTGTAAATTTCATTAATTAGAGGTCTATGAAGCCTTTACATTATACATAAAGACATACCTGGTGCAGTTCCTAAGTTTGCTGGTATGTCACCAAACATGTAACGATGACTGTTTGTATAATAATAAATTAACTGAATAATCATCAGGTGTTTTTGTGGTTTGATATATCATACACAACCTTACTATAAGGTGACCTCATAGCCAATCAGTGCATCTGTGTTATGTTACAGGAAAGAAGCAATTGCCGTATACGGAAAGGAGTCTATGTAACATTGACCCTGACCCAGAAATACCAACCACAATGCAATCCAATGTTGTGATGACTGTTCTTTCTCCTCCATCGGGCAAAGGTCTGTGTGATATATTTTTATGAATGATTTACTTTGGTTTAGCAATGTGACAATCAGTATTAATTATTGTCACCAAGCAATTAGATCAGAAACTTATCCATATTGTAATATGACACGTTAATATGTTAGATATGCTGATTGCACACTACATGCAGATTAGGTACTATATAAGGAATATTATATAACTAAACCATATATGCAGTTAAAATGATTTCATTATATTTTTTAGTGTACGGGACATGTGCAGAGATGTTGAATGCAGAATCAACAGTAGGCAATGGGTTTTACTATATCGACCCTGATGGGCCAGCTGGTAAACTGGAAAAGTTCGTTGTTGAATGTGACATGATTGCTGGAGGTAATGTTTTGAGGTTTTTGTGTTATTGCAAAAATCAGATTCTGTTAGGTTCATATGTATGAAAATCTCCATGATTCTAATGTGAGTTTCATCTCCAACCAAGATTACCTATAACATTTGGTATTTACCGATGTGTCACTTTTCCGAAACGAAAGCTGTTACTTAACTCTTCTTTTAATTGAAAAATGATTTTTAATTGAAGTGACGTTCAGTGTAAAAACTAGATTTAATTGCCATAGTATTCGAGGTAGGACAATGAGATATTTAATTAACAAATGTATAATGGGGAAGGATATTTGTAAAGCTGTATTTCACTGTATTTTTTCTTATCTCATGGCAGGCCACTCACTTGTGCACCACTATGCAGAGGTTTGTGGGTTTGTGAATGATACGGAGACTCCAGGCTCCTACCTCATGCAAGTTTCCTACAGAGGTATGTGTGCAAACCACTTGCCACTTTATTACTGTAGCTGGTAACCTGGTAGATGTGGCAAGTTAATAATAACCTGCTACTAAATAGTTTTAATGTGCACATGTCTGTATAATTTACATGTGTTTGTTTGGGTATGTATTTTCAGAAGCATCATTAGAGCAGGTGGTCTCTCTTATTAGTGCCTCAAAGACATGTGATCAGTACATCAGATATGAGTGCAAGGGTAGCCTCTTCCGTAGCTACATATTTGATCCACCCATGTAGGTGTTACTGTATGTTGTGCAATTTGCTGATGAATTGTGTTATGCTGATTTAAGTACTCTACTCTATACTCTATGAAAATCGATTTGCGTAAGTTTGTTATGATTCGGCCTTCTGCCATATAGAATAAATTCTTAATATACCTAATAACCTAGTGATAATGATCTAAGCTACTGTAAACAAATATAATTATTAGTATTTGTACAATTCTGTGGTTAAGAAAATTAAAACATTATTTATATGCAATAGAGATTTAAAAAATAAGCTTTTTTTTTAGAAAATTTCTTTCCTATGGTATAATGTGGGAGAAATGATTTAGTCTGTATGAGATATTTTTAATACATGAAATGTAATTAGCATCTGTTTTTTTTTCAGAATTTATGCATGGTGGGTAGGTAGAGATGGCAGTGACCAGAAGACTTACTGGGGTGGTGCTGCACCAAACTCTGACCAGTGTGGCTGCAACAATGGAAATTCTTGCCTAATGAATGAGAGGTAAGAATTCTGCAACACACCATTCCATACTATATACGTAAGTGATCACTCCTGTTTACTTTGCATTAATTTTCTGTGTGTGTGTGTTGCTGCGTGTGCAAATGCAGGCAAATTTATGCCAATATACTTATTTCAAACATCATTTTTATTAAGGTGTAACTGTGATGTCAACAACTCAACATTCTGGGCCATGGATGCTGGTTTGCTTAGCAATAAAGATGACCTCCCAGTCACTCAGCTAAGGTTTGGTGACACTGGAGGCACAGAAGAACAGGGTTATCACAAGCTAGGTCCATTGCGTTGTTACGATGGTGAGTAGGCCTACTTAACATCCAAACAATCAGATGACCGGATACTAGAGGAAGGCGCTTGACCGAAAGGAGATGTTACGATCCAAATTGCGCTGAAGCGCAGATCTTCGCGCAGTTCCGCGGGCAAGCGCACTGCACCGCCGGAACGTCCTACGACAGATGCAGCCGCTGGGCCAGCTATGGCATCCGACCTGCGCCGAATGAATTGCGGCACNGTGCAGGCATGCGTGCGTGTGCACGTACACGTGCGTGCGTGTGCACGTATACATGCGTGCGTGCTTGTACACGTGCACGTACACGTGCGTGCGTGGGAATGTACTGATGCGTGCGTGCGTGCGTGCGTGCGCATGTACACGTGCGTGCGTGTGTGTGCACGTACAAATGCGTGCGTGTACACGTACACAGAATACATGTACATATACGTACTAAACCGAGAGCTCACGCCACACAGGGGATTTCATAGATTTTTATCATAAATGACCCGGTGACCTGTGATGTCACACAACCCCTTGGCTCACTACGAACTGGCTTATTACCCAGAACAACTTTGCCAGTTGATCATTAACTTATCACAATCGTTGAAAATTACAGCAAAGTAATGTTTTCACGGAGCAACAGAACTTAGTTTACAAACGAGATTAAATAGATGTCAGGCAGATGAGAATGCAAACACATGCGTAATCGTGCTCCAAGTACGCTAGTAATTGGTTCTGAATGACTGCCCTCATTACTAGTAGCAAATAATTACACTGTGTATACGATACATAATATTCACGTATTTATGTTGATATGACTAGGTATGGTTTCTGGAAGTCATATGATGGTATAATGCAGACATTCTGGGCTGGTGGTATGGAGGAGAATGCATGTTCTTGCTACAAAAACAACTCGTGCAGGCAGGGGAAACGGTAGGAGCACGCGACTCATCAGTATAGTAGTCGATCAATTTCTTCACAATAATTTGTATTCTTTATTGGCATCCACAACAGTTGAAATCATCTTGCATACTGAATGTATAATACTGTGT